GGAAGGAAGGAAGATGAAATGATGCATTTAAGGTTATCTTTACCTGTCGCTCAAGGGACCTAAGATAAGCGCTCCGATGAGAAGGCCTGCCATGTAAATGGACTGAGATATCTGATTCAAATCTTCTCGGTCACAGACCAAGTTAAACTAAAAGAAAAGAAAAGATTCCTGTTTTATTTAAGCTCCTGGGAGCTTCAACATCATTCATTCATTCATTCATTCATTCATTCATTCATTCATTCATTCATTCATTCATTCAGATTTATATATCATCCCATTAGTGCAAGCAGAACAATTTACAAGACTGAAACTTACAACTCTCAAACCCCACAATAACAAAAAAAGTACATTCAAAACAATACAGCAACACGCCCTACAGTAATTAAACCATAAATAGAAATAACGCTATAGTCTATTTCTGGGACAGCCAATGTATGAACCACTGTTGCTAAGCATCTCTTACCCAGGTATGGGCAGAACTGGGCAATCGATCAGAGGTTGAAAGGCTGCCCCGCTCACCACAGCAGATATCAGAGCCCCCACAGAGGGTGTCGGGTCCGAGAGTAACTCCATTTGTAGACCCAGTTCTTCGGGGGGAACCACACTGAGACCAGGTAAATTTCCCTCTAACTAGTCTGATGATCATGGATTCAGTATTTTGCATTAGGATCCTAATTAGTAGGAGGGGTACTGAAATCTGGTTATTTTATGGCCCCCTACATGGCAAAATGTAAAAAAAGGACCCAGCTTATTTAAGAGCATCTCATGCAATTGCAAAGAGATAATCTTCCGCATTCATATAAAATAAAAAGAGATTACCCTGAAACCAGGGTTAAATTCATTTCCGCTCGATAAAATATATTGGACTATAAACCAACAATTAAACAGGTGAAGAAGGCAGAGACCCAAACAGAATATAGCAAAAGCACAGTTTTAAGTGCAAAAATTCCTGTTTATCTGACTTATCAGAGGTGTCTGCAAGATTGTCTATTGTCTCTTTGTTTTGTGAGCTTATTTGCCCTCGGTGCCCAAATGCGCACTGTAAGCAGCTCAGCATCCAGTGCTCCTAACTGGTGGTCCCAGGGTACATTGATACACGCTACTTTTCCACATAAAAGAAAATTGGCATCTTGAGGCGCACATCAAGAGATAAGAGTGCTAGCAACCTCATGAGGGAAAACCCCCTGGAATTCTGGCAACCTGCAGTGAGGTTGTCCTTTGGCTGACGTCTCGTGCGCATGGTAATGGGTGCTGCATAGGACCATCCTTATCTTCGGCCGCACATCTATGAAGGAAACGTCGTCACATCATCATTTGTGTTACTGAAGACTAGGAACGGTGAGGATCAGAGCTTGAAGAAGTTACTAAGTTACTTCTTTGGCTACACCGTTCTAACTTCCATATTCACTGGGGGGGTGCTTTGAGAAACTGCACTTTGAAGAAGGAACTTTTTCAAACTCTGATAGAGCGAGAGATGCATCACTCCACTATCGTGCTATAGCTAGTTCTCCAAGTTCCGAGTTTAAATCTGGCCCTCGAAAAATGCTCTGAGAGAGAGAGAGAGACTGGCCCTGTTATTAGGGGGAAAAAACCTGGGATACATCCTGCTTCCATGCACTGTGCCCATGGGAAATGTATGGGAGAGATGGGGTGCCACATGGAGAAGGCCCTGCAAGAAGGAAAACAAATGTATCCGGTTGAGAAACGTTCTCCATGAAACACCGGGAAAATATGGGGTGGAAGATCATCCCATAAACACCACTGACGCCATCACTGCTTTGTAAAATGGAATTGTTCCGTACACATACACCCAGATAATAAACAGGAACTGGGTAGGATACAAAACTGGTTTGAGAGATTGAAAACGCCCCATTGCATCTTCTAGATCAACAAAACATCCATGTCTATCTCTCCCTCTCTCTCTCTCTCTCTCTCTCACACACACACACACACACACACAGAGAGAGAGAGAGAGAGAGACTCCTCTGTAGTTTAGAGACGGGAGAGAGAGAGAGAGAAAGAGAGAGACTCCTCTGTAGTTCAGAGACGGAGCTCAAGAAGATATTTCTTTTGCAAGACATGTAAAGTACACACCTCAGTTAATAACGTTGGCTTTAGGTCTTCCGGATACACCCAGCCTTGCTCGCACCTTACTGTGGTATTGAGTCCATACTCCACGATGGATGTGATATCCTCGTTCACAGGAGCAAACATGAAGCATTCCTCCAGAGATCCGTCCGGTTTCCTGGGAATCGTCAGGTTCAGCTGCTGTTCTTTGGTCAGATTCCGGGAAAGGCGATCGATCCAGCTTGTGTTGCAATAATGAGGCACGTTCACCATGACAAACTGCTGGCCGAACATGTGGAAAGGAGTGAGGAAATTTGGGATGCAAAGGAGGAGCACCAGCCATTTCTGGAACCGACCAAATTCTCCAACCGCCTTCAAGACCTCTGCAAATCCCACCATCTTGGGCTGTGCTGCAGCTGGACTGTGCCTTCGTCAGAACCAGGACCTGAAATTAATGTTTAAACGTGATAAAGTCTAAGGATGAGGTGAATAATTAATCAGTTTTTGTATCTGATAAACACAGGTTCCATCCTACCGCAGCAGCTGCCAAGATTTCAGCCACAATGGTTTTCAAGGTATATGGGATGATCAAAGACTGGGTATCTGATAAACACAGGTTCCATCCTACCACAGCAGCTGCCAAGATTTCACCCAGGTATATGGGATGATCAAAGACTGTTTGACCATGGACATGCATAGATGGGATTTGAACTCAGGTCTTCTGAGTTCGATTTAAAGGTTCTATCCACTACAACACACTGGCTCTCATTCTAAAACAGCAGCAGTATGCAAATCAGGATGGCCATGTGCCCTAATGCATAGAGGAAGCCTTCCACTTGGAGATCCCTTTTGTCTAAAGTGCTTCTCAGTCTTAAATCCAGTTTCAAGATGTGGTCCATCAACAGTTCGTCCTAGACAGCACCAAGCAATGTACCAATACACTGAGATGCAATGCATTTCTATTTAAATTCAAATCATATTTAACTCACTGCCATGGGTTGCATAGAAAAGTTTACCAATCCTGGGAAACATCCATACATAACACAGCTTTTTAAAAAGAAAATTAACAAGTGAAATAGCACTGAACTAAGATGATAAGCATTTGAATTACTGCTGTATCAGTGTAGCACTGTAGTAGTATAGGTATAGTGCTAAACTAGGAAAAGCATGCCGTATTTTTCCATTGATAAGATGACCCAATGTATAAGACAACCTCCCCTTTTCTAACTCCAAATTAGAAAATTTGATCCCTGCTTTTCCCTTCCTTTTGCTAAGCCACGGAGCTTAGCGAAAGGAAGGGGAAAGCAGGAATCAAAGGGCTCCCTTTGACCGCCACTTTTCCTTGCCTTTCCTAAGTCTGCAGGGCTTTGGAAAGCAGCCACAAAAGAGCTTCAAGATCAAAGGGATGCGATCGTGCAGCCCTTTCATCGCTGCTTTGCTCGAAGGGAGCCTTCCCTTCCTTTTTGCTAAGCCCCATGGCTTCGCAAAAGGCAGGGAAAGAGGCTGCCTTCCGTGTATAAAACAAACCTCAATTTTTTCTCTGATTATTTAAGGAAAAAGTGTCATTTTATACACTGAAAAATACGGTCTCCAATACTTTGGCCGTCTCATGAGAAGAGAAGACTCCCTGGAAAAGACCCTGATGTTGGTACCAAAGACTCAAACTCAGGACTCCGACCCAAAGATTTGCCAACATCCCTGGTGAAGGGTATCTGAAACAACATTTGTCTGTCTCCCCACCTCTCTGTTTTGGGGTTAAGTCTGAACTTTCTCTGCATGAATACTTACTCCCCACCCCAGATCTGGCTGTACCCCCCTCCCCAGCTCCACTCACCACTAATCCCTGTGTCTTCCACTCCATCAACCACAACCTGCTTTCTTAAAGTCGTTTCAACAAAATTGTGACACTGGAGGAGGCCAAAAGATCCAACACGAGGAACTGCAATGTCTCAGTTATGGCCCTTTCCCTCTGGGACAAGCTTCCTACAGAGGTTGTATTTTAACTGCCCTCCAACTTTCGTGGCAACGTTCACACGATGAAGACTTTGATTTAGAAACAAGAAAATTGATGCAAGTAGATTATGATAATTTTACCGCCAGCTTCTCTGACTGAACTCGATGAGAAATTGCTCTCGTTAAGGTCGACTATCTCATCAGTCGGCTGAAAGTTTATGCTATTGGTTTAGCTTCCTTAAGAATACTTGGATTATATTTTATTTGTGGAAATGCAGCCTCTAGAACAGTGGTCCTCAACCTTGGGCCTCCAGATGTTCGTGGACTTCAACTCCCAGAAATCCTGGCCAGCAGAGATGGTGGTGAAGGCTTCTGGGAGTTGTAGTCCAAGAACATCTGGAGGCCCAAGGTGGGGACCACTGCTCTAGAAGACCCCTCCCATTAAATATTATTAGTACCTGCACGTTAGGTCACAAGGTGTCTGGAGTTACTGCTACTAAGAGTAAATCTCTATCAACGTTCCTGTAATCTGGGAAGTTTGTTAGGGCTAAAATGAATACTCCATGAGAGGCTCATTTGCATTGGTGATGATTCTTAGTGAAGAAAGATATTTAGAGGGCTAATTCCTGCAATAGGGGTTTTTGAATCAGAATGTTTATTTAAGAAATTTTCTGCGTTTCTTGAATTTTTGGAGAATATAGCAGCCCCGATGGATTCTGCAGCTCAGATGACATTACAGGGTACTAAAGTTCAAGATGTAATTTTAGCTCAATCCTCATTTTACTTAATTTTAACTAATTCATCTTGTTGCCCATCTGTAAATGAATCTGGAAACGTTGCTACTGATGTCAGAATAACAGATCATGAACTCCAGCACTTAACGCCATTTGGCAGAACCGCTGACTGAATTGATTTCTGGTTGTGGATGCTGGAGGTGAAAGGGTGATTGTAAGAAATTCTAAAGCCTCTTTTGAAATACTTGTTATTGGATTAGTTCTTTTCATAATAGGCCATGCTTGTATTTCCTGTTCTTGTCAATGTGTATTGCATCGCACTTAACAAATAAATTCTTTCCTACACCTTTCCCAGAAAGGATAGGTCTGTGTAAGACTTTGTTAAAAGCTCCATTTATAGTGCCCGTATTAACCTTTTAAACCTTGTCCTGAAGGGCCTCCCTAGATACAGTATGTCTCTAATTCTGGATCTAGAAGTTTGATTGCAAAGGGAACCCAGTTCGATTCTCCACTGGGCCTCCTTGGCAGGGGCTGGACCCAAAAATTCTTAGGGTCCCTTCCAGCTTTGCAGTTTTAATATTATTATATTATAACATCCGGAGGGCCAAAGCTGGCCCCCTCGTCATCAACATCCCCAGCTCCCGGTAAAAAATTCTAGTGTTTTCTGTTTTATTCAGTGTTCTAATTTATTATAGACCTCTTTTTTTACCCTGAAATATACTCAATACAGTTTGCTGATTTTAAAAAACAACATCCAACAGCATCATTGTCAAACTATGGTGGATGTTAAATTAGGATTTTATTTCACTCACTGGAGTAAATTAATCTTCACAAAATAAACAAAGCAGGCAGTGAGGGAACCAAGCAGGGACCAATTTTTTTTTTCACCACCAAGATAAAATGCTTTGAGCAAGGAATGGTGGAGAAAAATGTTCAGTTTGCATGGGAATGTGACGTTATCTTGCATGCCCAAACCTGTATGTGAGCCAGATGTCCTTTAAAATTTACGCATCTTTGAATTTTGCAGTAGTCTTCTTCCATTTTTCAAAAATGAGTAGAAAACAGCATATATCAATGAAAATGATATTTCAAAAATACATCCTCTTGGGCAAATCGCTTGCAGAAGAAGGTGGCGTATTAAGCAAAATTGCTGGCAAAAAATACATACAAATTTTCATTCAATGCTTTTTTTAAAAAAAATTCTCAGACTGTATAAAGAGATATATTTGCCCATCCCTGGTTTATGCTCGTTCCCAGGCTTTAAACCATACCAGATGAAGATTCATGCAGTCTTCGGAAAGAAGATCTCACAGACAATGCAAGGCTGACCATTCGAAGCAAGTGAGATGTCTCCAGCTTCAAAATTCATCCCTTTCGTTCCAACCACGCTGATCGCTCGTCAGGACAACTTTTTCCATAGAAGCTTCCCTTCCCTCTCCACTTACATCCCAGCAGGAAAGGAAAAGATGCCCCAGAACAAAAAGACTTGGGAGGTGGCCAAGAAGGCACATCCCAACCCAGCTACTTATGTCATTTACAGGAAGCAATAGATCCTGAGAATTTGGACCTGCCCATGACAGATTAAGATCATCATTAGCTAATCAAAGCAATGCACTTCCTCGGTTAAGCAAGAAGCCACAGTGTTAATTACATGAGTGAAGCAGCCCTTTAAAGCAGTGGTCCCCAGCCCCACTTCCTCGGTTAAGCAAGAAGCCACAGTCTTAATTACATGAGTGAAGCAGCCCTTTAGAGCAGTGGTCCCCAACCCTGGGCCTCCAGATGTTCTTGGACTTCAACTCCCAGAAATCCTGGCCAGCAGAGGTGGTGATGAAGGCTTCTGGGAGTTGTAGTCCAAGAACATCTGGAGGCGCAAGGTTGGGGACCACTGCTTTAGAGCACAGATGTGGGCCCAAGGTTGAGGGCCACTGCTTTAGAGCACAGATGTGGAAAGGATTTTCAGTACCCTGATGGCAGACAAATCAAGCGAACCTATTGCTCCTGCTGTCATGTTTTACCCAACGTGGTTCCCTCTGGAATTCCTTTCTCCTAACAAAGAAATCTGCACAACAATGTTTCACAACTTCGTGTCCTCCAGAGATAATGGTATACAATTCTCATCATCCTCCAGCCACGTTAGGGTTTGGGAATGTTTCTGTACAGGCATGATGTATGGATGAACATCAAACCCACTGAGATCTATAACAGCTCCATTTTTGGAGGGTCCCCTCGGAGATTAGAGATGTTACCTTTCCTCCCCCACATCTCCTACCAGAATGGAGACTGAAGGTTTTTGGGACTTGGCATCCAAAAAAGTTGTGTTTCTTAGTGACACAAGGTAGGTATCGTTGCTTTCCTACCAGAATGGAGACTGAAGGTTTTTGGGAGTTGCCATCCAAAAAAGTTGTGTTTCCTACTGATACAAAATAGGAGGTATCATTGCTTTCTTATACCTATCTGATGAAGTACCACCTCCTTTTCCAACTTTTGGAGAACGATTTAGGCTGCATTAACAGAAGTATGGTCTCCAAATCCTGTGAGGGGCTCATTCCCTTCTATTTGGCACTGGTTCGGCCTCACCTTTGAGTACTGTGTCCAGTTCTGGACACCACCCTTCAAGAAGGATGCTGACAAACTGGAACAAGTTCAGGGGAGGGCGACAAGGAGGATCAGGGGACTGGAAATCAAGCCCTAGGAGGAAAGACTGAAAGAACTGGGTATGTTTTGCTTTGAGAAAAGAAGATTGAGGGGAGAAGCTGCCATACAGCGGAAGGGCAGGATCTGTTTCCATCATTCCAGAGTGCAGGACACGTAACAAGGGGCTCAAGCGACAGGAAGCCAGGAAAAAAAATATCTTATTGTTAAAGTGGTACAGCAATGGAACCAATTCAAGAGAAAACTGGACAGCCACCTATCAAATCGGCTTTGATTGGGATTCCTGCCTCGAGCAGGGGGTTGGACTCGATGGCCTTAGGGGTCCCTTCCAGCCCCATGATCCTATGATTCTAGGATTAGGGGGAGGGTTGTTTTTATTTTTAAACAACTCCATGGAGGTGCGCTTGTCTATAATAGATGTTCACTCGGTATTGATCCATTCCCAGAGCTTTGTGACAGTTTCTGTGCAAAAGGCAGGTGCCTCTTGATGCTAGCCTTCAGGTGTGTCATTGTGGGTGTCGTCAGGCCACAAACCACAATAAAGTGATTCCTTTTCCCCCACCACCTGGAAACAGAGAGGACAGCCTTGGGCGCTTCCCAGGAAAAACGGAATAACGGGTATACTCCTAATACTTCTGTTCTCACATCAAGGAGAGTGTAGCTCCAACTGGCGGTTCTTGCTGCATGCAGTCAAGTTGCTTTCCAAGGATGGCAATCCTAATACTGTATAAGATTTTCGAGGTATGTGAGACGTTCGAAGAATGACTGAGCACTTACCTTTGTCTGGATCGGGATTGAAACTCAGATCTCCTGAGTCTTAGTAAGACGCCACACTAGCTTTTCCAGCCCCGTGACATTTTTTATTTTATTTGTTTATTTATTAGACTTTCATCCCACCCTTCTAGATGATGTCTACTCATGATTACTTATTTGCCATAATAATTACTCCGCAAGAACAAGTCATAATTAGAGGTTGCCCTTAACTATGGGGGTGGGGAAGTATTAAATACTGTTGTCGTCTAGTCGTTTAGTCGTGTCCGACTCTTCGTGACCCCATGGACCAGAGCACGCCAGGCCCTCCTGTCTTCCACTGCCTCCCGGAGTTTGGTCAAGGTCATGTTGGTTGCTTCGATGACCCTGTCCAGCCACCTCGTCCTCTGTCATCCCCTTCTCCTCTTGCCTTCACACATTCCCAACATCAGGGTCTTTTCCAGGGAGTCTTCTCTTCTCATGAGATGGCCAAAGTACTGGAGCCTCGGCTTCAGGATCTGTCCTTCCAGTGAGCACTCAGGGTTGATTTCCTTTAGAATTGATAGGTTTGTTCTCCTTGCAGTCCAGGCAACTCTCAAGAGCCTCCTCCAGCACCACAATTCAAAGGCATCAATTTATACTTATCCGTGGGATTAGTATCCACTGATTCACTTATCCACGGCCTAAAATATTAGAAGTAAATTTTCTACTTTCTACTTTTGCCAGTGGTATAAAGGTAAGTTTCTGAAGTGGAGGCCCTCAGCACTGCCAGGAGAAGTCTTAAAATGCAGGTAGTTGCGTTATTCGCTATCTTCTGTCCACAGACTCAAGGCACAGCACAGACCAACAGCATAATGCCCTATTTATTAGGATCAGCTGACACAGGTTAGAAAGCTGCCGAAGGACAGTGTCATCATTAATATGTTGGACTTTGACCAGATCGGCTTGAGATTTCATGGCAAAGAGAAACAGAGAGACACAACCAGCGTTCCAGAGAGATTAAGATCACTCACTCAAGCTTTCCCAGATGCTTCTTGACTTAGCATCAGAAATATGACTTTATATCTGGCAAATAATTGTCACTGTTTCCATCTCTGTGAGGAGCAGGGTTTTCGGTAAACATGATTCTTAATTTGTCCATTCAATTCCACCTTGAAATATTTGCGGTTCAACAAAGACCTCTCGCAAATACATATTACTGTTGGGAGAAATTCCACTTCTTCAGTCCTCAAGCTAGATGACGCTTCCAGCTAAGGACAAAGGAACAAGGAAGGACGGGGTATGTGATGTCATTTGTGCAACGGATGATATCACCATCCTGGCTAATTGGTACTGGGCAGCTGTCTAACTAGGTTTAAGCAACCACCTTTCCTTGTTCCCAGACGTAAGCTCTTACTGTTTCGTTGGGACTTACTTGCAGAGATATGGTCTGAATACATCAGCATTGCAGCTATGTATTCTGCAGTAAGCATAACCCAAATCCATTATTTTAAACATGACAGTTGACTTTAATGCATGTGTTCATAATGCATTCAGGTACTTTACACCAAAATAAGGGACTGTGGGTAGAGTTGGTTTTCTTGAAAATGAGTAACTGGATTTTGTTTAAAAGCAGCTGAAGTACTTAATTCATTGTCTGTTTCAAATTCTGCTCACCGCGGAGGGGTAGACTCCACCAATTAATCTCTTGACTCTTTTTCATGGGGCATTTTTGTGATGCCAGCTTATAAATAAGTGGTCTTTGCCCGTTCGCTAAGATGATTGTCTTCCTTTTGGTTTAAGCATCCATTTTCCAAGTTCCTGCTGACTGTTTTCCTAGGCCCACTGGAAAGAAAGAAGGTTGAAATAACAGGATCAAATGTCTATCCAAATAGTGTTGTAATCAAATTAATTTTGCAAAAATCACCAAATCATAAAATTGTGTTGGCAGCTGTAATATGTATGTATATTTATTTGTATTAGTATGTTGGTTTGTATGGGAAGGACTAGAAAGCCTGATTCTGTGTAGTTCAGTGGTTTCAGTCGCTGGCTAGGAAGCCAGAGGTTGGGAGTTCGATTCTGCCTTGCGCCTTCTTGACAGCGGGCTGGACTGGATGATCTTAGGGGTCCCTTTCCAGCTCTGGAATTCCAAGAATGTCATATTTGCATAATGAAGCATTTTGACCAACCAGAATGTGTCTGGTATCAGCCAGACAGATATATAAAGCATGTGTCAGTTAGCAGTCCCCCAGATAAGAACAAAGACGTGACAGGGCTAAACATGTCAGATATGGATGATAGAATTCGTTAGGGCCAGACAGGGCTAAATGTGCAATAGAGTTAGGATGTGAGATTTGTAGTGGTTTATTAGAGAAACTGTGTCTGTCAAGTTTTAACAATGATATACTAATATAACTAAGTCATGTATAAGTACATGTATAACAAGCACCAATATGTCTAAGCACTATGAGTTTGTTTGTTTGTTTTATTTTATTTGTTTGACTTCTATACCGCCCATCTGGTTGCTAGGGCCACTTTGGTTGGTTTACAACTAAAACAAAAGATAATAATAGAAGACAGTAAATACAGCAACCCTCAAAATCAAAACTAAACATCCACTAAAATATAAACGAACAATGTGAGTGAAAATGAAAATATAATTAGGATTGTCTACATAGGTTCTTAAACAGGAAACATTAGTTAATGTTTTAACAAAGACCGAGTGATTGTTTACTATCATCTGGTGGCACAAACACACAGAAGGGAGAATATCAATTTTTTGCTCCCAGAGTGAGGCTTTTTAATAATACTGCTGTGCACAGGCTCTGATATTTACATTTTGTATATTATTTATTATAGCCCAGATCAACAAATGGGAGGTTTAAGGGATCAGTCTGGAGGTCATCCAGAGTCCAGACCACCCCAGTCAGTACAGAGGTTGGCAACTACAGAACCCATTACAGAGGGTCCACCAGTATCTGTTTCAATACCTCCAGCAAAGGGCAATGGAGCAATCGCTACACCAAAGTTTATTAGCTTTGTCAGACCCGTGACTGCTTATTCACCTTTGCCTTTGTTATCATCAGGCAACAGCCGCCGGATATTAAATAATCAAATAATCAGGTGATATACTGTATATATGGTGACAAACTCCCATCATTGCCAGCCAGCACAGGCCATACCGCTTGGGGACAATGGGAGCGGAAGTCTAACATACAGTGGTGCCTCGCTAGACAGTTACCCCACATGACAGTTTTTTCGCTAGACATTGGGTTTTTGAGATTGCTATAGCGATTCGCAAAACAGTGATTCCTATGGGGGAATTTCGCTGGACAATGTTTGGTCCCTGCTTCGCAAACCGATTTTCGCTTGACGACGATTTTGACAGCTCCCTCCGCACTCACAAACAGGTGTTTTCAGGACCTAAGCTTCGCAAGACAGCGATTTAAACAGCTGATCGGCGGTTCGCAAAGCGGCTTTCCTATGGCCGATCTTCACTAGACAACAACGATTCTTCCCCATTGGAATGTATTAAACAGGTTCCGATGCATTCCAATGCAGAAATGCTTTTCGCTAGACGACGATTTCGCTAAACAGCGATTTCAGTGGAATGGATTATCATCGTCTAGCAAGGCACCACTGGAGGGCACCATGCTTCATAAGCAGGCTTTGGGGGGGGGAGAAAATATATAGCAAACATGGCAGAAAAATCAGTTTAAATGCTGCAAAGCCAGAGTGTCAAGCAGAGCACTGAGAGGGGGGAATTTCTCAAAAAATACATAAGATAGTCCTTGGTATCCCTTCAACCTGGTTGATCTCAGAAGTGGTCCAAAGAATGGGGCCTTTGTGGACAAACTTAAGCTCACTTAGGCTCAGGTGCATCTTCAAACACGCTAAGGTCAGATCCTGCACTAAAGGCAATAGTGTTATCCCTCTAGATACGCAAATCTTTCAGGGCTGCACGCCTGACCCACCCGTCGTGTAAACCAAGCTGTCCTGTCTCCCAGCTCCCCACAAAACAGAAGCAGGACAAACTTGCCAAAAGTTTGTGTCAGCTAGCTTTTTCCTCTCTGTCTTAGGCTGGAAGAGACGCTATGGGTCATTGGAGTCTTAGCCCCTGTTGAACTCCCAGCTAGTGAAACTGGTGGGGGAAACCATGGTGTGATAGGCTCAAACCACATGGTGACCATAAGGATTTTTGTGGCTGATCATTCCTGCAGCTGCTAAAGGTTCTAAGCCTCCTTCAAGGGCCGTCCTGTAGAGAGAGCACTGCAGCAGTTTCAGGCTGGCTATACGAAGCATTTATTTAAAACAAATAAATAATGTGTATATCAGGGGTTATGCTCCACTTTACATGAAACATTGAGAGAAGGGGATGCCAAGCTGTTTATTAGAACCATCAGCAAAACTCACTTCGATTTGGCCACAACATCTTCGATGTGGTCGGGAAGCTCCAGGCCACGGGTCTCGGGCAGAAGGAAGGAAAGGGTCCCGCCAACTACGGCTGTGCTTGCAAACATCAAGATCGGGAAGCTGGCGTGGTGCTTCTCCAGGAGGTGAGCCAGTGGGGAGATGATGCCGCCCAATCTGGCTGCCATTTGACACAGGCCAATTCCAGTCTGCCTGAGAAGAAAGGAAAATACAGAGGCAGATGAAAAGGGGGGCAGTAAAGAAACTCTGGATCTGGGCACCCAGAGGATGCCAGAAGCACGGGAATGATGCTTAACTATAGAGACGACGGAAGGCGAGAAAGAGGCAACGCCTGTGAGTTCTTTAATAATCCATGCATATCATTCAAACATTGAGACCAGACTTTATTGCTTATAATATTTAATGCAAATTTAAATTATTTGTGTACTGATGTCTCAGCGTCCTGCAATTATGCAGAATTGAAAGATATTGTACACACAGCTCTAAAGGCAAGGAAAAACTGCTGGGTAGCTCAGTGGTTTAGGTCTCTGGCTGTAGGTTGGGAGTTCGATTCCCCACCGGGCCATCTTGACAGGAGATGGATTTGATGATCCACAGGGTCCCTTTTGCTCTGTAGTTCTGAGATGATGAGGATGATGATGATGATGATGAGGAGGAGGAGGAGGAGGATCATCATCATCATCATCATCATCATCATCATCATCACCATCATCATCATCATCATTA